CGCCCCGCCTCGTAGGCGTGACAGTTGCCAGAGTCTCAATGGGGGTTGGAACTTCCAGAACCAAGCTGGAATGGCTACGCACTACAGCTACTTCCTAGACCTCCTTTTCCAATCTAAGAATGTCCTGGTGCAAAAACGATAAATTAAGTGAAATAAGCCAAGTACAGAAAGAAGAGTATTGCATGTTGGAAAAGTCACTCATATTAGAAATTATGAAGTTGGTTTTATAAAATCACTGAGTAGATCCTTGGCCAACAGAGGATAAGAAGATTAAAACAAGAAGGAAAAGAAAAGTAGGATAACAAAAGAATTTGAAAGAATAAAAATATTAATATTCTACCACAGCACAGCTGATGGCTATGGTTCTCAAAATTTTAATATATACTGTAAGTTACTAGAATGTAGGAGTTTAAAATCTTCCAATAGAGAGAGAGAGATGATAAATTTTTAATGAGCAGAAAATATTCATCACCCTTATTTTGTCTTTATACATTTTACACACACATACACACACACACACACACACACACACACAACAGTTGCCATCCCTCAAACAAAACAAATAAAATATTAATATTGCCATTGTTTAATAGACTTGAAACATTTAATAAAGTAATGTTTTGCTCCACTTAATTCCACATAACACTGTCCTTTTATAAATTAGTCTAGACTACTTAAAAGTGAAATCAGGCTATTTGATACAGAGTCAAAATGATGACCTTAAATAAGGAATAACACCTTGTCAGGATTCTGGAAGATAGTAGTTGACAGTTACTTAATGGAAAAGGCAATCACAGGCAGCTAGGTGTGCACTGTGTTTTTGCAAATAAAAGATATAAGACATGCACATATACTTCAGCAGCTATTTCTGGGCTAATAAAATAAAAAATGAAAATAAAAGCAAATTTCTTTCTCTCATTATTTATGCATGTGTGTTTCTTTATGGGTCTATGTGAGTGTATGGACATACATACTCATGTATAGAGGTCAAAAGAGGATATGGGGTTTTCTTTTCTTTTACTCGTACCTACTACCCTGAGGTAGTTTCTTCCTCTAAATGGGGCTCCCATACTAGACTAGAGGCCAGCAAGCCCTAGTGATTTTCCTGTCTCTTGTACCCTCATGGAGCTGGGTTATATCTCTGCTTTATGTGGGTGCTAGGATCAAAACTCCCATGCACATAACTGAGAATCAATCAGTTTTAAACTCTGGGTCATCACTCAGGCCTCAGAAAATAGCTTTCTAAATGACTACATTAAGCCTTACACTCAGTAGTCCCAATTTTCCTTATATGAAATTTAACCCAGTCTTCATTTATGACTTCTATGGACTGTTCTCAAGCTGCTTCTGTCCCCAAAGCATCAACTTAAATAATTATATCATAAGGCTATTTGTGTTAGGGCAGCTAAAGCCAATGTGTTTCTAGTATTTGGAAATATTATTTGTCTTATAAAATGTTCTGTTTTATTTTTTAACCAGTTACCATTCAGAAGGAATTTTGATCTACAGGCTTATAAATATTTTCTGAAAAGGTATGGAAAAGGTTGAGTATTGGATTTTTGCCTCCCAACAATTAGTCATTTTCACATCAGAAGTTTGGAATTTTTTCAAATTCAGTATTTTTTTCTGTCAGCCGTATGTATGTGTGCAATACAAAATTGACCCTAACTTTCACGATATATTACCATACACTGTAACATAAAGGTTTTCAGATCTCAGCAATATTATTAGAATATAAGTAACTGATATAGGTTGAAATAAATAGCAATGCTTTGTGGTAAAAATATTCAATCTGTTAGAAAATTTTTATTCCTTTGTCACTTAATAACAGGAAATGAAATGGCATTGTTGCGGACTGGCAGTCTAAAGCAGTAACTCAAGGACATGACATTTCATTGGAATGAAAAAATAATTAACACAACAGACAAGAATACAAAGATAAAAATTTAGAATCTGTGTTTTAGGTTAGGTTGGAGCTACTGTTAGGAACTACTTTAGGCTCATAAAGTCACTTCAACTTGTAATGGAGGGGATCCTTTGAGATATTAAACTTGTGGCCCCTATCTGTCACAAAGGAAGGAAGGACAGCCCTTTCTTGGGCCCCATGAACCTTATAAGCAGCAGACTAAGGAGATAGTTTAGTAAATAAAGTGTTTCTCATGCAACCAAAGCACCAGGAGTTGATCCCCAGGCACCCATGTAAAAAGGAAGAAGCAGTGATGCACACCCATAATCCCAGTATCCAGGATTGGAAGATGGAGACAGGAGGATCACTGGAATCTGCTGGCCAGCCAACCTGGCAAAACTGATGAGTTCAAGTTGAGAGAGAAACCCTATCTCCAAAACTAAGGTTGAGAGTGGTTGAGGAGAATACCCACTTTCCATCTCTGGCTCTGTACATATATGCACATAATTGGGCATGCACATATAAAACAGAACTTTGAAATATCCACATTATCATTTTTGTCTGTTGTTTTTAATATTTATTTTTCGTTTATGTGTATGTGTAGGTGCCTGAGTGTACTTCTGTGGACCATGTGTTGGCAGGAGACCCCTGAGGTAAGAATATGGGTCAGAGCCCTTTTATCTAGATACAGAAAGTTGTGAGTTGCCATGTGGTTGCTGTTCCTTTCCAAAAGCAACTACACTAACCTCTGAGACTCTCTCCATCCTTGTTTTTGGCCTGAGGTGGGCAGATTCTCATTTAACCAAAGCTGATTATTGTGAAGCTGAGTCTGGCCTCAATCTCCCAATACTCATGATTCTACCATGGAAGTGCTAGAATTACAGGCATTTGCTACCATACTTCATACATTCCTTAAGCAAAAATAACTTAAATTAGGTTGGAAAGGAGATTTGAATGGACAAATATCTATTCTAACTGACTATTATCATTTAAAACACCCAATGTTTCCATGAGAACAAAAACTGAAAGATTAAAAGAATGAATACCAAAGGTACTCACATTTTCATAATTTAGTAAATTTCAAGTTAATTTTTGCCCACAATCAGATTGTAGGTTTGAAGCATATATAAACAGTACTGTTTACATAGTTCTCTAATGCATATATTTTAAGTACAATAATCAATCAATAGTACCTCTTGAAACTGAGAAGCTTTTGTAGAGCAAAGGATATGGTCAACAAGGCAAAGCGACAGCCTACAGAATGGTAAAAGATCTTTACCAACCCCACATCAGACAAAAAGCTTATATGCAGAATATATAAAGAACTCAAGAAATTAGACATCAAAATGCCCAACAGTCCAATTAAGAAATGGGCTATAGAACTAAACAGAGAATTCTCAACAGAGGAAACTCAAATGGCTGAAAGACATTTAAGGAATTGCTCAACATCCATAATCATCAGGGAAATGCAAATCAAAACGAGTCAGAGATACCACCTTACACCTGTCAGAATGGCTAAAATCAAAAACACTGAAAACAGCTTATGCTGGATAGGATGTGGAGCTAGGGGAACTCTCCTCCACTGCTGGTGGGAATGCAAGCTTGTACAACCACTTTGTAAATCAATATGGTGCTTTCTTAGAAAATTGGGAATGTCTCCCCCAAGATCCAGCTATACCACTCTTGGGCATATACCCAAGAAATGCTCAATCATACCACGAGGCACTTGCTCAGCTATGTTCATATCAGCATTGTTTGTAATAGCCAGAACCTGAAAACAACCTAGATTCCCTTCAACTGAAGAATGGATAAATAAAATGTGGTACATACATACAATGGAATACTACTCAGCAGAGAAAAACAATGACATCATGAGATTTGCAGGCAAATGGATGGATCTAGAAAAAATCATCCTGAGTGAGGTAACCCAGACTCATAAAGACAAACATGGTATGTACTCACTCATAGGAGGATACTAGATGTAAAACAAAGATAACTAGACTGCTACTCACAACTCCAGGGGGGCTACCTAGAAAACAGGACCTCTAGAAAGACACAGGGATCACCCAATGACAGAGAAATGTATGAGATCTACATGAACAACCTGGACGTGAGTGAGGGTAATGAAGGGCAAGGGTCGAGAGAAAGAGAGCTTAGGGAGTGGAAGATCCAAGCTCGATCAAGAACAGAGAGGGAGAACAAGAAATAAGAGACCATGATAAATGAAGACCACATGAGAATAGGAAGAAGCAAAGTACTAGGGAGGTCCCCAGAAATCCACAAAGATACCCCCACAATAGACTGCTGACAATGGTCGAGAGACAGCCCGAACTGACCTACTCTGGTGATAGGATGGCCAAACTCCCTAATTGTCGTGCTAGAAATCTCACGCAATGACTGAAGGAACCAGATGCAGAGATCCATGGCCAGGCCCCAGGTGGAGCTCCAGGAGTCCAGTTGGCAAGAAAGAGGAGGGTTTGTATAAGCAAGAATTGTTGAGACCAAGGTTGGAAAAAGCACAGGGACAAATTAGCCAAACGAATGGAAACATATGAACTATGAACCAATAGCTGAGATCAGGCCTTCTGGATAAGTGAGACAGTTGATTGGCTTGAACTATTTGGGAGGCATCCAGGCAGTGGGACCTGGACCTGTACTCAGTGCATGAACTGTCTGTTTGGAACCTGGAGCTTATACAGGGACACTTAGCTCAGCCTGGGAGGAGGGGACTGGACCTGCCTGGACTGAATCTACCACATTGAACTCAATCCCCAGGGGAGTCTTTGCACTGGAGGAGATGGCAATGGGGGGTGGGCTGGGGGGAAATTGGGAGGGGAGGACAAGGAAATCCATGGATGATATGTAAAATTAAATTAAATTATAAAAAAAGAAATAATTAGATCTGAATTTGTGAATTTCCTCAAAGGCATGGAAAGTAGTGTGTGCACCATTATAAGTTAATGAAACTGAGAATGCACAAATGGAGAATGATTTGAATTTGAATGATTAATATATTAATTGACCTACATTAAATGCCTTACATTCTGAATTTTCTAAATACATTAATTGTAATTAAATGTTAAACAAATCTGACCTTCAGTTGTTCTTCCAAAGCCGCCGTTGCATGATCGCCACTGGATTCATCAACCACTACCACCATGTGAGTTAAAGAGTTGACCCTGACTTGTTCCTGCTCTAGATCTTCTTGAAGCACCTGAAAGAAAATAATCCAAATGTAAATATTAAAAACATCTCTTCCCAAGTGCATGTGAGTTCTTTCTCCCACACATGGAGCAATGCAATCACTCAATAACCTAGACTGATTGCAAACCATTTCTGTTAGTTTACTCAGTAATTATATTCGCTATTTCATTTGAACTCCAAAGTATGATGACAGATCTTACATTGTGAAGGCTACAGGTAGAGTGCACTTCTTCTCACACACTCTCTACCTTTTCCAGGACTTTGTCTTTAATCATCTGTACATCTAGCATCCTTGGTATTGTCTACTTTACTAAAATTTCCGATTACCATTGAAAGAAAGTAATCACATTTGAACTGAAAGTCTGAATTTTCTATTTAATATGTTAATATTCACTGGAAAACATTCTATTTTTAAAATGATCCTCTGTGCTTAGTTAATTTGATCTTCACTGCCCACTATCACATCAAAGTATTTCTTTCAAAGGTTGCCAAATCCAATATCCATTTTATAGCATCTCATTTCACATTATTAAGTATCTTCTGTCTGAAGAGACATTTCCTTGCTAGTTTTTTCTACTTCTACCATTTGCTTACTCATGTCTATCAATATCTTACTGAATGTTTCAAGAGATAAAATTTTACAAGAATTTTGCAAAACATCCCGACGTGGAGCTGCAGTCCACCCAAACCTCAGTACAGTACACTATTCTGGGGATTTCCTCTAATTGGTATTTAACTCTTCTAGATAACTAGTTTTCTTCTCAAAGTATTTTGTTATATAACATATTAATGGAAAGATAGTTTGGAAATATTGTCTTTTAGTTTCTGGCAATCCTACTGCCTGTACACACAAAACTGTAATGCCTGGGACCTATCAGTCTCCTTCTTAGTTATTCAAATGTTATAAAAGTTGTAGGTGACCTTATTAGGATGGATGAACCACAATTTCAAATGCATGAACACTTTAATTCTAGGACTTTTATATTTCAAGCCTCTATATTTTAGATTACTCTAAGATAACTTCTTTGTAATTCTCTCTAGATTTTCATGCTACATTTTCAAGTGAAGGAATTTATGATAAAATGACTATGCTCCTGTTTTGTGTGTGAAATGTATACTGCCCATCATGAATTTGACATCCTAGAGCTTGCACTGGTTAATAAAACTCTTTCTTCCAGGAGACTGAAAATAGAAACATTAACATTCAAATTTGTCCTTGAAGGCGATGTCAAGTATCCCCCCCCCACCGCCTCCTCTTTCTTTGAGTTATATAAGCTAAGACTTTCAGCTTGTCAGCCAGGAATTTTTAGAACAATTAAGACAATTATTAGTTTGCCAGATTATAACCTGGCTTCAATAACTTTAGAAAACTATTTTCCTATATTTCCACATGAAGTTTTATATATATATATATATATATATATATATATATATATAAACTCATATATTCAAAAGTAAAAGTGTACTAGGAAATAATACCAGACTGAACAACATTTTATACATAAATTATAGTCACTGCTTTAATACTATGGCAAAGGAACATGTAGAAATCGTTTGATTCAGGAAATATTTCTACAGAACAAATCTTTATAAAGTATATGTGATAAATGTACTATTGATTTTTCTAGTATTAAACTGATTTCTTATTGTGTATTTGTTATAAAATGAGACATTTGAGTTTTTTGCCATTTTCATCAATGATATATATATCTCATTCTTTTGAAAATATTAACACAAGGTATTATTGAAACTAATGATGTTTTGATAACTTTAAACTGAAAGTACCACTTTGATTTGAATGACCAGAGGGATTTGTAGAAACATAGGAAGGGCTCTCTATATTGGCTTACTGAGCACATAGCAGCAGATTAGACTCCACATATGACTTAATCTTATGTCCAATAGCTTTTCTTCTCTTCTGTGACTTTTTAATATTATAACATCTCTGGCTTAAATTGATAATGTTAAAGTTTTTTTTTGAGCAAATTCTGTAGTTGCAAAATAGAAACCCTTGTAAAATACCTTGTTCAGAGTTTTCAATACCCCAAATCATTAAGAATGACTATTGCAGTATTAATGCTTTCCAATATTATCAATAAAGAAAAGATTATAAAACACAATGTCTGGAGACTACTTTTGAAACTCATTTTTTGCATAAGTAGCAAAATGTCAAAAACAAATTGTATGTTTACCGTCTTATCTTTGAAGGTAAAACAAAATGCTTGCCTGGCTTCCTGCTTGATATCATGTATTTTTAAGACTACCAAATTTGGTTACAACATTTTAATTAAAATTTTAGTTAAATATTGACTTGTTAGGGAATTGAATTTCTCATAGTTATATTTATACAACAGAAGTTTGTTGCTGTGCTCATTAAGCCTGAAATATGAGCCAAGTTATTTCCAAATATAGATATGTCCCCAGAGTTACACATTGAAGTTTGACTATTCAAAACCTTCATCTTTAAGTCAAAATTCTGTCTTATGTAATTACAAAAGTGGTTTTCATTATCAAAAATGTACGATTTACATGTATATGTGCTGGCTATTTTATGATCCATTATTTTTATTAAAGTGATGCTTTTGTCACACTGGCAAGGTTAGTAATCTGGCATGCTCCTAATTAAATTTCTATACCATTATTAGATACAAATGTCAGTGATATTTGTTCTCTAATATCAAATAGCAAACTTTTATTCCTTATGACAAGAGAAAAGGGCGACAACGAAATACATTAAAAACCCTTAGATTTGACAAACTGAAGTTTTATCATACCTCTCTTTTTCTAAATAATGCTCTACTTAAAGGACTTTACCAAATTTTAACCTCTTAGTACTGGATCTCAATATTATAATTCAAATGTGATTTACTTCCATAATTCCTTAAAACGTCACCAATAGTACAAACTTTTTTGTTCTGACCAGCCCAAACAGCTTGGGAACACTCATTGGAAAAAGTAACTTCAGTGTTCAAGACCCATGCTACCTTGTTAGTTCTCAATTCGGATATGAGATAATGATTAACTAATGAACACAAGGAAGTATGTAGGTATAGAAAAGTTTTAGACTTACACTTAGATGTAAAGATCAGCCCATATAGAAAGGGAAATATAGTAGAAACTAAAACAAGGTGGGATGCCGTGTTTTTTCAAAATTATTTATTGGTTCCTTTGGTCAAAGTACAGATTCAATGTACCTGGATTCAGCACTGCTGTGGTTACCTTTGTGTACACTTTCTTTCAATCCTCCTACTATATTCATTAGAATATTGACAGCATTCCCAGAAAGTTGACACAAATAGAAACACACATCCCCACTGAAAAACAACGCACATAATGCTTTCTGTATAGGGTCTAAGAATAGCAGCTTCTTCCTCCCAAATAACGTTTAAGGTATGGTTAATTATAAATATTACATTTAAAAAAGTTTACAGCATCCTATCTACCAAACATACTACTTGCAGAGATCTTACAAACACAGATAATTTCTAGGATTAGTTGCCCATCTAGGAAAGTAATGTTTAATATAAAAATCATACAACAAAATGCCCAAGATGTTTATGATTAATTAACTAATTAAAAATTCTGGACACATATTTGCTTAAAATTCAAATCAGAACATCTTATGCTTTCACTAAAAATGATGGAGAAATGGGCCATTTATTTTTGTTATTTTTTCTAGCCACTGCTAATTCCCTGTTTTCATAAACTCTACACTGTACTAGCTTCTATATCCCTAGGTACCCTGAGTGAAATGATCTGGTAATGATTTCCAATTTTATTTTCAGTCAAATATTCACTTCGCTAAGCCTGGCTGCCTGAAGTATTGTCCATCTCCCAGTGTGGATCTATTTAGGGCACATAAACTGTTGTACATTCACTGAATATTTTAAATAATCTTCCCTAGCAGGTTCTTCTCGAAAAGCCTGTATTTTGGTCTTCAATTCTTTACATAGGACTTGATACTTTTATATTAAACTCCATTATTTTTACCTTTTGGCTACAAGGGAGTGTTTTTGTGTCTGACAAGCCTTGGAACTACCAAGTGGGAGAAGACTTCTAAAAAGACAACTTCAACAAGTGAATTTGAGAGACCATAGAAACACTGATTTTCAGCACCTAAAAATGAGTTCCATTATTGAGAAAAACTCTTAATAACAGATACTATACTTATATATAAAAAATCATATTGTCAGTGATTGACAACAATGGGGAACATTAACCAAAATCTATCAGAGATTCAGTATCAGAAAGCTAGTTGCTAGCTTTGATCCCTGTATCTTTTGTTAAATTAAGCTTCAACATTCTAACTAGTGCAAAAGGATATATAGCTATCTAGCATAGCTATGAGACTAAGGTACAATTGATTAGCATTTTGCCCAATGCAACATGAACTATATAAATATTACCAGCCACTTACTTCTGAAACCTCATAATTAGGCATATCCAGTAGAAAGCTGTTAAACCAAGCCACAAGAACCCAGTAGTGACCTGACTACTCTCCCTCATCTAATCAACTGTGCTTTTCGTTGTCTAATAAATGTGCTTCTAGCAATTCATAAAATGCCAGTCTGAAATTGCAGCAAAGTTTAGGGTCTAAAAAGTCTATAATTGATCTAAAATACTTAAACATTTAAAAATATTTCTTTTTAGTATTTGTGTGTATATGTGCCTTGGTGTAAGAGTAGGGGCATTTGGGTGTGTGTGCACACATGTGCATTGGTGTGAGTACAGATGAATGTGTGTATGTCAGGTACACATAGAGACCAAAAGAGCATGTAGATGATCCCCTGGAGCCAGAGTTCTAGGAATTTGTGAGTCACTTGACTTATGTGCTGAGATATGAACACTTGTCTCAGTATAGTAGACAGAAAAGAGCTCTTTTCTGCTTATCCATACCCCATTCCCCTAAAATCCTCATTAAATTTGCATATTATTTATACAAGATTAACAGAGATTCATAATTGGTTAAAGAGTAATGTATAAGTAACTATGTGTGCTCAGCTGTGGATG